AGCTTCCAAAGCATCAAGACTTTCATGATTCATGATTTTCAAGTCCAGGTGGATGGATAAAAAAAGACAAATCCTCTTTGCTCATGAGATAGAAATCCAGTTGGGGTTTTATGGAGATCCTGCAGGAGTTTCAACAATTGTCATAATTAATCACAAAACCAGCCTATTTCACAAACTAAACAGTAGGGGGAGCTGTAGCAACTGCATATACTTGAAAAGAATGCACAATTTTTTAATCACTTTTTTAAATTCTTTATTTTATTGGGCACAATAAATGCAAAAGTATAACTGCACACATGCTGGACAACGCATAGCAATGTACAGTATATCCCACATACGAGCCATTCCAATTTTTTATAGAAATAAATGTAAACAAATTCCAGAAATAACCTATGTAAATATATGAAACGTGATCAAGACTGACTATATGGAGGATAAGCTTAACAGAAGACTGCATAAATGACTCAATAACACATGTGCATGGAGGAGAATTACACTAGTGGTGTTTGCAATTGATAAGGTTGTACAGATGAGCATAAAAAGTACCACAAAAAAAAACCCTTAAAAATAAATTTAAACCAGTGCTAATGTGGACTTAGCATTCAACAGAAATCAAAAATGAAATCATTAATGAAAGCATCAACATTAAAATAAATCAACAGTCCCACTTAGGATCTTTTAAGTGGTCATCGGCAAATAGGAAACTATGGACAGCCCCCGAGGCACAAATTGGTAATCCTGGAAAGGTCCCAATGTATCGAGACTCTGAGAGAATCTCTCCAGCTTTTGGTTTTTAGCTTTGCAATCCATGCTGTGCAGTCTCCTGTACCAGGCCTTAAAAAGATACAAAAAGGTGCTATAAAACCTAAAAATAAAGAAAATGAACTTCGACCTCAGGAGATGTGAATCTTCAATGCCTAGCTTCAAACCTCTTTATACATTTTCGATGCATTTTATAAATGCAAAATCTAAAAAAACTACCTATCAAGTTCCCTGCGGATGTACTCTTTAGTGGGCTTGCAAATGTGTGGTCTATTCTTGCCCGTAAACTCCTATATTGCAAGGAATTATGGGATAAGCTGCTTATCCCCTCAGTATCAGTAACAATCATCACATAGGATGAGTGTAAATTCTAAGTAAATAGATAGCAGTCACATGATGGCTGCTATACAAGCCAGCTCACTGTAATAAACTGAGATATGTGCAATGCTAACTCTCTTGTCTGTCAATCAGGAAGATGGAATGTTCAGTTCCTGCCTGGTATTTTGAACAAGTTGTGTGTTTAGCAAAAAGAATGTACACTGATGCATTGAGGATAGCATCATATACAAAAGAGAGCAGAATACAAAAAGGTAGTAGAGTTGATATTTGTAAAGGTAACACTAATTGTAAAGAAGGAAACTAGGAAAGCCCAGTATACTGTAGTTAAATGGACACTCCAAACCCCTAACGCACTTTAGCTTTACAAAATGTTTTGTGTATGAAGAGTGTGCCCTCTTTTTCTATTTATTTTGCAAAAAGTGCAGATTTCAACATAAATTGTCACTTTTATAAATTAACTTTGTTACACCCCATTGGTTGTCAATCAGACAATGGGTCCTGTGACTTCCTAGTTTGGCTAGCTCAGTGGAGCTACACTTAAGAGGCAGCAATTGCCCAGAGCACCTGCCTCAGAAAGACTTCTCATTGAGTTGCATTCAGAAGTCTTTGATTGGACATCCACAGAAAGTCTTTATGTTAAAGAACACTAGTAGAATGTGTGCTTGTTTAAATCTGCAGAAGCAAATTAAAAATAAATAATGACAAAATAACGACAATGCAATACGTTCAGGTATTGATATATTGAAATGGCGTTCCGTTTGACACTCACATTGACTATATACGAGCTCTGTGGATGCAGCATTTCTGTATCTTTATTGGTGACAAACTCTCCCACACCTACTATAGCTAATGAAAATATTTCAATACAGCCATGTCCCAGCCCAGTAATTAAATAGTTCATTCAAGCTAGATTCTTCAGATCATGTATTGTGTGCTGGTAAACCCAGGATGATCTAACACTGACATGAAAGCCTCAACTTCTCAAGGATTTGAAGGTCATTGTATGTGTGTGTGAGAAAGAGACAGAGAGAGAGAGAGTGTGTGTGTGTGTCTGACTATCTGTCTGTAACTGTGTGTGAGTGACTATGTGGTTGGGACTGTGTGCATGTGGCTTTATTTGATAGTATATGTGTGCATCTGACAGTGTGTTTGACTATGGCACTGTGTGCAAAAATACACACCTGTATCGACACATGGGCATACATGCATTTAATTAAAATCTGAATTAAATACCCATCACAAATTCCCACTCAGGCAATATCCACATATATCACACACAGTCAATACACCCATAACAAATATCACACACGGAGGCGCACACCAGATTTGCAGCACACTGGACCACCAGAGGTTAGCATTCCCCCTCCCTGTAAGGTAACAGGGAAGGGGGAATATTTTGGGGGGGTTCTTTAATAATTATTCATTTATAATTTATTAACTTTCTCGCCTTGTCGCTTGGTTGCTGTCCCCCTCGATGCCCTTCCTATTGTGGTTTTATACCCCACCTGCCCTAGACTGTAAGCTCATTTGACCAGGGTCCTCATCAACCTATTGTTCCTGTAATGTTTTGCAGTTGTCTCATTTGTTGTTATATTTCCCCCTTTTATAATATTGTAAAGCTCTGCAGAACACATTGGCGCTATCTAAATGCTAATAATAATAATAATAACCCTGCTTGTATGGAAATCTGAATTTAAAGCTTCTGTTTATGGGCGCTTTTTTTGTTTTTAGAATCTCACTCTGTCTGTTTGGGACTCATCTCAAGATTGGCCTCAGAGTTGGACTTAATATTAAAGTTGCAATTTCAAGACATATTTCTTAATTAATACATAAGCCTGCAAATGTGGCATCACTTATCTACTGCGCATGGGTCTGTTGCAGAGAGAGAATAAGAGAAAGATAGAAAAAAAGAGAGAGAGAAAAAAAATTCATGAATGAATTTGGTATATGCTAAATTTTAAAAAGCCCCATAAACAGACATTAAAGTCAGATTTCAAAACAGGTTATTCACTGCACAGAATTCAGAGTGGATTTCAAATTTAAAGTCGTAAGAGAGAGAGAGAGGGAGAGAGAGAGATGGAAGGAGAGAGAGATGGAAGGAGGAAGAGATGGAAGGAGAGAGAGAGAGATGGAAGGAGAGAGAGAGAGATGGAAGGAGAGAGAGAGAGATGGAAGGAGAGAGAGAGAGATGGAAGGAGAGAGAGATGGAAGGAGAGAGAGATGGAAGGAGAGAGATGGAAGGAGAGAGAGATGGAAGGAGAGAGAGAGAGAGAGAGAGAGAGAGAGAGAGAGATGGAAGGAGAGAGATGGAAGGAGAGAGAGAGAGAAATGGAAGGAGAAAGAGAGAAATGGAAGGAGAAAGAGAGAAATGGAAGGAGAGAGAGGTGGAAGGAGAGCGATGGAAGGAGAGAGAGCGATGGAAGGAAAGAGAGAGTGAGAAAAAGGAGAGAGAGAGAGAGAGAGGAGAGAGAGAGAGAAGGAGAGAGAGAGAGAGAGAAGGAGAGAGAGAGGGGGAAGAGAGAGAGAGGGGGAAACAAAGAAAAAAGAGAGAGAGAAGAAAAGAAAGAAAAGGAGAGAGATGGAAAGAGAGAGAGAGAGATGCAAAGAAAGAAAGAATGAAAGAAAGAGATAGAGAAAGCCCTCCCACACACGGTCCCAGAGCAGGTTGAGGAAGGAGGAAATGAGTGGTAGAGTTGATAGCAGTGACTGCACCTCAGTCCTCAGTGTGCTGCTGTCAGTGTGTGCGACTCAGCCCTCAGTGTGCTGCTGTCAGTATGTGTAGCTCAGCCCTCAGTGTGCTGCTGTCAGTGTGTGTGTGTGTGTAGCTCAGCCCTCAGTGTGCTGCTGTCAGTGTGTGTGTGTGGCGCAGCCCTCAGTGTGCTGCTGTCAGTGTGTGTGTGGCTCAGCCCTCAGTGTGCTGCTGTCAGTGTGTGTGTGGCTCAGCCCTCAGTGTGCTGCTGTCAGTGTGTGTGTGTGGCTCAGCCCTCAGTGTGCTGCTGTCAGTGTGTGTAGCTCAGCCCTCAGTGTGCTGCTGTCAGTGTGTGTGTGTAGCTCAGCCCTCAGTGTGCTGCTGTCAGTGTGTGTGTGTAGCTCAGCCCTCAGTGTGCTGCTGTCAGTTTGTGTTTGTGACTCAGCCCTCAGTGTGCTGCTGTCAGTCTGTGCGTAGCTCAGCCCTCAGTATGCTGCTGTCAGTGTGTGTGGCTCAACCCTCAGTGTGCTGCTGTCAGTGTGTGTGTGTAGCTCAGCCCTCAGTGTGCTGCTGTCAGTGTGTGTAGCTCAGCCCTCAGTGTGCTGCTGTCAGTGTGTGTGTGTGGCTCAGCCCTCAGTGTGCTGCTGTCAGTGTGTGTGTAGCTCAGCCCTCAGTGTGCTGCTGTCAGTGTGTGTAGCTCAGCCCTCAGTGTGCTGCTGTCAGTGTGTGTGTGGCTCAGCCCTCAGTGTGCTGCTGTCAGTGTGTGTGTAGCTCAGCCCTCAGTGTGCTGCTGTCAGTGTGTGTGTGGCTCAGCCCTCAGTGTGCTGCTGTCAGTGTGTGTGGCTCAGCCCTCAGTGTTCTGCTGTCAGTGTGTGTGTGTGTGTAGCTCAGCCCTCAGTGTGCTGCTGTCAGGTAGTGGCGCAGCCCCTCAGTGTGCTGCTGTCAGTGTGTGTGGCTCAGCCCTCAGTGTGCTGCTGTCAGTGTGTGTGTGTGTGTGGCGCAGCCCTCAGTGTGCTGCTGTCAGTGTGTGTGTGGCTCAGCCCTCAGTGTGCTGCTGTCAGTGTGTGTGTGGCTCAGCCCCCAGTGTGCTGCTGTCAGTGTGTGTGTGTGGCTCAGCCCTCAGTGTGCTGCTGTCAGTGTGTGTGTGTGGCTCAGCCCTCAGTGTGCTGCTGTCAGTGTGTGTGTAGCTCAGCCTTCAGTGTGCTGCTGTCAGTGTGTGTGTAGCTCAGCCCTCAGTGTGCTGCTGTCAGTGTGTGTGTGTGTGGCTCAGCCCTCAGTGTGCTGCTGTCAGTGTGTGTGTGGCTCAGCCCTCAGTGTGCTGGTGTCAGTGTGTGTGTGGCTCAGCCCTCAGTGTGCTGCTGTCAGTGTGTGTGTGTAGCTCAGCCCTCAGTGCGTGTGTGTGGCTCAGCCCTCAGTGTGCTGCTGCTGTCAGTGTGTGTGCTCAGCCCTCAGTGTGCTGCTGTCAGTGTGTGTGTGTAGCTCAGCCCTCAGTGTGCTGCTGTCAGTGTGTGTGTGTAGCTCAGCCCTCAGTGCGTGTGTGTGGCTCAGCCCTCAGTGTGCTGCTGTCAGTGTGTGTGTAGCTCAGCCCTCAGTGTGCTGCTGTCAGTGTGTGTGTGTAGCTCAGCCCTCAGTGTGCTGCTGTCAGTGTGTGTGTAGCTCAGCCCTCAGTGTGCTGCTGTCAGTGTGTGTGTAGCTCAGCCCTCAGTGTGCTGCTGTCAGTTTGTGTGGCTCAGCCCTCAGTGTGCTCTGTCAGTGTGTGTGTAGCTCAGCCCTCAGTGTGCTGCTGTCAGTGTGTGTGGCTCAGTCCTCACTGTGTTCCCCTATGACAGCCAGCTCTCAGCGCTCTATCACAGCACGCTGCCCCACATACCCCCCCGCCCTCGCGCGCTTTGGATGATTCCGACCGAGCTCCCCGGCAGCACTGGGATGAACCATGCGGGGATTTCGGGGGAGCCCTCTCCGCTCTCTCCGAGTCCCAGCATTGGTAGGAAGCGGCTGAGCGTGGGGGAGCTGCGGCTGTACTTCGAGGCTCGCTGCTCGGCGGACAGAGACGGCCAGCGGGAGCCCCGCCGCAGGAGGAGGATGGGCAGCGGCAGCTGGCACCGGAGTAACGGGGACCCGGAGCCCCGGAGAGGGAGCTGGGAGGCTCGGCAGCCGCCGCACGTTATCCCCCAGCTGACCGTGACCAGCTCCGAGGAGCCGCCGCCTCCCCCCAGCCCCTGTGCGGTGCTCATCCCGGGCTGGGACGGGCTCAGGACGGACAGCTTCCTGAAACTGGGCAGCAGCAGCCGGCGGCTCTCCGCCTCCACCAACTCGCTCTCCTCCACCGGCTCGTCCTCCGCGATGGAGGACTCCGAGGACGACCTGCTCAGCGACTCCGAGAGCAAGAGCCAGGGCAACGTGGACCTGGAGCAGAGCGAGGAGCACAGCCAGGTGAGGGGGGGCTCTTAACATGGCTCAGGACAACCTACCTGCTGGCCCAGGACAACCTACCTGCTGGCTTAGGACTGCAGGAATTAACAAAGTTTACTGTGCTGGGAAGTGGAGCAAAGTTCTGAAAAGAACTGGTGGAACCATCAGATGGAATGTGTCTGTGGTTTCCATGGCGACTGCAGAACTTTTAGAACTCTGCTCTAGTTCAGTTCCCAGCACAGGAAACTTTTAATAAATCTCCCTCCACTTGAGCAAAGTTCTTAAAAAAAAAAAAAAGCAAAAAAACTTGAGTAGTCGCCAATGGAATGTGTCTGTGGTTTCCATGGCGACTGCAGAACTTTTAGAACTTTGCTCAAGTGGAAGGAGATTTATCAAAGTTTCCTATGCTGGGAACTGGAGCAGAGTTCTAAAAGGGCTGCAGTCAGCATGGAAACCACATGCACGTTCCATTTGGTGGTTCCACCAGTTTGTTTGTTTTTTTCCTCCACAACTTTGCTCCACTTCCCAGGAAAGGAAACTTTGATAATTGAGCAAAGCTCTAAAAGTGCCGCAGTCGCCGTGGATACCACAGACACATTCTATTTGGTGACTCCACCAGTTGTTTATTTAGAACTCTGCTCAAGTGGAGATTTATCAAAGTTTCCTATCCTAAGGAAGTGGAGCAAAGGTTTGAAAAAATGGTGGAACCACCAAATGGAATGTGTCTTTGGTGACAACACCACTTTGAGTATTTTGCTCAACTGGTTAATTCAGTATGTGAATAAATAACTAGGTTTTACTAAATGAAAAATGTTTGATTTTGTGTATAAAAATCCATGTGTTGTTACTCAGTAGTATCGTTCCAACTAATCTTAATAAATTGTGTCTCTCATAGTGAAGCTTGTGAAGGGTTGGTTTTTGTTTTTTTTGGTTTATAAAACACTCAATGTTATTACATGTAGATTCGCAACTAAAATGTAGACTGAGTGTTACTATGCTAATAATCATCATTAATAATAATGTAACACCCTATTATGACAGCAAAGCGTGGAAGTTAAATTAAACTGTAAGTTCTGTTTTTTTTTGTTTGTTTTTTTTTAAATTTACTTTTTTCATTCAAGCTTGAGGTTGCATAGTAAATAGTAATTAACTGATAGTTTGCAGTTGTTGCTGATATTAATTTTCTGATTTTCCATTTTAAATATTTGGTAAACAGTAGCCTAGACTCATACTCTCTAGGGACTAATTGAGTGTTCACTGAATTGTAGTGAATTGCAACCAAGCTGTCATATTTAGGCTGATTTAGAATCTCCAGCTCTTTACCTAAATTCGACGATTTGGTTTAAATTCAGGACACTTAGAAGTTTTATTAAGGAATGTTTTTTTTTATTTTTTTTAAGTTAAATTTCAGTTGCAAAATTAAGGCCAAATTAGACAATTTTGAAAAATGAATCTATACTCTCTGGATGGTTTGTTTGTTTTTGCCTACATTGTGCAAGATTTTAATTTCACTACAATTCAGTAGTTGTTGAGTAAACCCTTCTGATAACCTGCCATCATGAAGAATGGCAAAGTACATCAATAGGAAAATGGGTTGTCATTTGCAGCTGTTGCTGCTAGAAGACACTGGCTTTTACTGACCCATTCCATTATTGACTATTGCTGCGTACACTGGCTGTGATATCAGGTGTGGGCAGTGATAACAGGCAGAGATGACGTATGTTCCAGGTTATAGGGGACCCATAATGCGTGGTTGATAGTAGGTGTATGTTGTAATGCTTGGAAGGTTATATTATTATGCAGCAAAAAGACAATTGAAAACATGTATCAGAACAAGGATATGTGATGTAAATGCTGATCATTTATACCTGTCCTAAACTGTTTTAATAGACCAGGTATAGGCAACCTTCTGCACTCCAGATGTTTTGGACTACACCTCCCCAGATGCCTTGCCAGCATTATGGGTGTAAGAGCATTATGGGGGATGTAGTCCACCACATCTGGAGTGCCGAAGGTTGCCTAC